TGGTCCGCCCAGTCATAGATCAAGCAAGTCAATATCCTTAGAGGTAGTCCCAACTACATAAGAATCGAAATACACAAGAATTTTAATATCGTTTCTCAGACTGCATGGTTTAATTATTTTACCCAAGCAAAGGGTCTGTCAAGAAGCTAATACATACTTTTATTGAGCCCATGTGTCTGATAGTTCTAACCGGGTATGAGATGCCCTACTTAATAAATTCTTTTTGGGCTAAAAACCACGGCTCATCAGACGGAGTCACAAAGACAAAGCCAATAAAAGTAGTACTAGATCCGACTGTACCTCAATCTCAGAACCAAGTCGAGAAGCCATACTAAAATTCTTCTATATTTAAATAAAGCTTAGATCCGTTCATGGTCTATATAAAAGAGAAGTTAGTTATCCGGCATATATATAAATTTTTAGCCGGACATAGTCACGGCTCAGATCGGAGAAATTGAAAAAGTAAAAGACAGGAAGAATTAGAAAAGAAAGTACCTTGTTGTTACCAAACCGCACACTTTATTATTCCGGCCAAAATCCGGCAAGCTTACAAAACTTAGTAAGAAAAGTTTACAAGAAAGAGAGAGAGTGCAAAACGGAAGAGAGGGTTTCTAAAACCTGCTCCTTGATTAAAGAAAAACAAACTTATTTATTCTAAAAGAAAGCATCTTTGTACAGGATACTGGGCCCCTATCTGGGTCCTGGTAACAGTGTATCTACTGTTGAGCTATAGTAGTCCGGGCGTTTTACTGTTCCGGAAAAGCTTAACACTGCTACATCTTGTCCTTTAGTTTTGACCAAAAAATCTTCGGCTTTTCTTCTTCATATGGTTAAGCTTCGTGCATATCTTCACTTGTTTCACTACGCATTGATGAATCTGATTTTGCGTAATGACTTACATTTAGAAGAATTCTTTTTCTTTACTTCTTCTAGATACTTCATAATCATTTCATTTTGTTCTCCTTCATCATGATTAGAAATTTTTCTAGGCATATGTTTTACGGAGGTTGAATCATCAGTCATAATTCCTTTATTAGGAATCGATTTATAATCGTGTATGGTTTTTGTTATTAAATCCAGCAGTTCTTGTTCGTATATAAACTTTGTTTGAGGATCTTTCTTCATCAACTTATCCCAAAAATTATTATAATAAGTTCTGTATAGGCAAGGGATTTGTTCCTCAGTGAAATCTACTTCCGGAACCCATTTATGAATCCATGGAACAGAGAATTCTATAAAGAAATAAATCTGGTCAATTTGTTGAAAGTAACAAATATGTTCTTGATGATATAACTTGTTGAGATCTGGGGAAATCTTGACCCATTCTTTGTATAACTTGAGAAATGGTTCGGGCAATATTTTTATGGTTGGCCCGTGGTATGACCACCAGTTTAAAAACCAATTTGGTATAGGGTTAACAAATATCTTGGCACATAGTTTTATAAACCAAGTATGTTTATGCCTCTCATTGTTATAACATAAGACTTTATTAAATGCCTGAATATAATCCCAATATGTAAAGCTTACCATGACTTTGTTCAGACTGAATTGTCTTTCTGTCATTGAGGAAATACCCCAATCTATAATATGAATGACGTGTTTTATAATCATTTTAGAGAAGTTATAAATATTCTCACTTGTATTATATCCTGAAAAATGTTGAAATTCAACACATGTGCTTATCATCAGAGTCTCATAATATTTTCGAATTTTGTATGACTCACCCGGGAAATAAAGCCCATTAACTAAATACCTCTGGAATATCTTCCAAGGTTCTTCTTTTCTCTGTATGTCAGAGTTTTCTAAGAGAAATATCATTTCTCTTTTCTCTACCTTTTCATATGTTTTGATATCATCAACTTCTTCTTTGGCGATTGAAGCAAA